CAGAACTTGGGAAAGTACAAGGAGAAGCAGTATCCTCAGAGAACAGCCATCTTTTTCAATGAGAGCAAGAAGATGAAGAGAACTTTCAGGGGAGATTGAGACTGAAAGGGTTTTGTTGATCACTGACACAAATTCCAGAAGGCAGAGTCATTTTGAGAGTAGGAGTAGGTGATTGAGTCAGATTAGAAAAGTCCTCCCAGATGACAGGTTAGAGTTATGTGAGGATGAGAATCTAGGTGATGAGAGATATCAGGGAGGCTTGGATTTCTTGTGATGTCCAGCGTAAACAGACTTAAGGCATGTTTTATCCTGGTTATCCCTTAAAGGAGCAGTGGTAGCCAATGGAACTGTCTGTAATGACAGAAATGCTTTATATCTGTGGGGTCAAATATGGAAGCCAGTAGTCACGTGGCTGTTGAGCCCATGAAATATGCTCATGGGACTGAGGAGTTGACTTTTAAATTACATTTAATTCTAATTAAAATTTAAATTTAAATAGTCACATCACTCAGAGAATGGTAGATAATTAATTCTAAACGATAGCCTTTTTGTTAGGACGAGTTTCTTAGGGGAGTCTAGCAGCACTGAGGCAGGAAACATGCTGGTGAACTGCACCTTTCCTTCTTCCTCTTACATCCCACTGAGGAAGTGCCTGGCTGGAGGAGGGGCACTTTAAACAGGAACATACACAAGTCTGTGGCCTCTGTTATTTTCTGCAGAGATTTTGTTTTTTTAAAATATGTTTTTATTGGTTTTTTTAGAGAGAGTGGAAGGGAAAGAGATAGAAACATCGATGTGAGAGAGAAACATTGATCAGCTGCCTCCTGCACACCCCCCACCGGGGATCAAGTCTGCAACCCTGGTATGTGCCCTGACTGGGAATCCAGTCAGAACCTCTCAGTCCATGGGACAAGGCTCAATCCCCTGAGCCACACTAGCTGGGCTGCTGAGATGGCTTTGAGGTTGAAGGGGATAAATTGAGGATGACAATTCTCTTCTTTGTATGTACAATTTCTACTCTCTTCAAGGAGCTATTGTTTTCACTATTATAGTTCTAGGCCATAGGTTTTTATTTTTTATTGCTTGTCTTTGAATTTTTGGAAACAACTGTGCTGATATTTACATAGTATTTATAATTGTTCTGTAATTCTTTGGTTATTTGCTGTTCATTCTGTTTGTACAAATTAGTATGGGAACCACTTAAAACTAAAACCTAACTTAAATTATAGACAGGCTGATAAGTGCTTATTCTAAGGATGGGTTTACTCTTTGGCAAGGCTAAGAAGTAAGTCTGGAAGAAGAATAATGACAATTACAATGAACAACTTATATTTGCTGAGTGCTTTCTGTGAGCTGGACACTCTTACAACTTACTTGGATTGTCTGGTGTGATTCTTACCAAAACTCATGAGGATAGATGCTATATCATGTCATTTTGTAGATCAGTTAACTAATACTCAGGTCAGGTTATTTGCTTGGACATCATTTTGTCCAACTCTAAAGTTGGTGTACTTTATTCTGCTAGGCATTACTGCTTCTTTCTTTCTTTCTTTCTTTCTTTCTTTCTTTCTTTCTTTCTTTCTTTCTTTCTTTCTGTCTTTCTCTCTCTCTCTCTCTCTCTCTCTCTCTCTCTCTCTCTCTCTCTCTCTCTCTCTCTCTCTCTCTCCCTTTCTTTCTCACCTGAGGACATTTTTGCATTTACCTTCAGATAGAGCGGGAGGAAGAGAGAGAGACACACATCGACTGGTTGCCACCCACAGGACCCCAACCAGGGCTGGGGACAAACTGCAACTGAGGTACATGTCCTTAGCAGGAACTGAACCCAGGACTCTCCTGTCCACGGGCCGACACTCTAACCGCTGAGCCAAACTGGCCAGGGCTGCTTTCTTTTATCTTAGCAGTGCCAAGGCAAGTCCCAAGTGCAGCTCCTTAAGATGTTTTCCATCTCTCAGGTCTTAGTGACATACCTCCTCTCCTCCATTTTGCTTACCTTGACCTGGTGGTTGTTTTTCTGCTAGTTGCCCTCAGACTCCATTGTTCCCTTTTGAAATCTTTGGTTGCTGTCACCAGCAGCAAGGGTTTTGGATTTCAGTTTCATACTGAATTCTCTGCCTACTGCTAGTTGAAATGGCTGTCTCAACCCTCATAAACTGGAATTGGAGACTCCTTTAAGAGCAACTTACACTTTTCCATTTCTTTGTAGGGGTAGTAGGCTTCAAAGGAAAAACTTAGCTTCAAGGCCCAGTCCAGTCCGCCCTGATCTTAACATTAAATAATAAAATTAGCATGTAGTTCCCAGCCATCTGTCAAGTCTTTCCCCTCAGATTCTTTTCCACCTGCCCACTCACCACATTGTGTCTTCCCATCCTTTACCCTATTATTTTCTAGGAGAGGAAGCCTGCTCTTATAGAAGAACATGTGCTTCTTTAAAGGTAGACTTGCATTGCATTCCATGGGTTTTTTGTTGTTCTTGTTTTAGCTTTGTGATCTTGATCAGATTACTTAATTTTTTTTTTTTAGTCTATAAAATACAGATAATATCATATGCCTTGTAGGGTTTTGTCCTAAGGATTGATGCTATGTTTATAAAGTCCTTGGTACAGAGTATAAAACAAGAACTCTTTTTCCCCCCTTAAACCTATTGTTGTGATTTAATTTGGCAAATATTTATTAGTGTCTAATATGTGCTAGATTCTGCTGTGGATGCTGAAGAGATCAAAAAACAAAACTCGGAATCTCTAAATTCGGAAAGTTGCATGTTGTAGAAAGGAGACAGACATACAAACAAATAACAGAAATGTACTAAGTGCAGTAGAGGTATATATAAAGTGCTAGAAGAAATTAATTTTTTTTTTCAGCCCTGTCTGTGGAGTGGTTTCTAAGTATTTCTTTTGGAGAAAATGCTTGGTAGTCTAGATGGGGGACAAATGGAAAGAGAGAAAAAACAACCCTTAAAAGTTTCTGTTATCTGTGAGGTGCCAACCTTTTAAGAATTGATTTTAGCAAGGCCCTTGATAAAAATCTCTCATGAAGTCCTTGTACATAAGATGGAGAAATGTGGACTGGCTGATAGAATAGGGGGAGGATTTGAAGCTGGTTATACAACTATGTCCAGAACATTTTTCTCCTGCAGTACTTTACTTATACAATCTCTGGGTTGGAAGGAACCTTAGTAATAGATTGCCTACTCTCTCTGTACTCTGATCTCTTTTTCTCCCTTTTAATTTTGAATTCAACAGTACAGAAATAATGTAGTGAAAAACATCCTTCCTATGTCAGTCAAGCGTCCCTGTCATGCTCCCCAGAGATAAACACTATTAATAGTTACTTGTGTGTATGATCTTGTTTTATTATGCGTATCTCTTTACACTTTGTGTTATAGTTATTTGAATGTATATGCTGTCTCCTTTAATTCATTGTAAACTCCTTAACAGCAAGAACCCCCACCTCATAATTTCCTCTATCTCCCCAAATTACTTGCACATTGAAGATTCTCTATAAATATTTGCTTGATTGCCCTGGCCGGTTTGGTTCAGCGGTTGGAGTGTCGGCCTGCGGTCCTGAGAGACCCGGGTTCGGTTCCCGCTAAGGGTGCGTACCTCGGTTGCAGTTTGTCCCCGGCCCTGGTCGGTTGTGCGGGTGGCAGCCACTCGATGTGTTCCTTTCACATCGATGTTTCTCTCTCTCTCTCTGTTCCTCTCTCTCCCTCCCACTCTACCTGAACAAAAAATGGAAAAATGTCCTCGGGTGAGGATAAAAAAACAAACAAACAAAAAAATAAATAAATAAATATTTGCTTGATTAAATAAAGGGAATGGGCCAGGGGGCAGAAGACAGGTTTCTCTGTTAATATGCCACAGTTTTCTGTTCTTGGCCATATCCTTTACAATAATTTTTTCCCCAGTGACTTGAATGAAGAAGTAGAAAGCATGCTTGTCATATATGCAGATGACACAAACTGGAAAGAGAGCTTATAACTTTAGATGACAGGATCAAAACTGCAGATGAACTCACCAAACTGGAATGTTCACTTTAAAAGAACAGGAACAGCCCTGCCCGGTTTGGCTCAGTAGTTAGAGCGACGGCCTGCGGTCCAGAGAGATCCAGGTTTGGTTCCCACTAAGGGTGCGTACCTCGGTAGCAGTTTGTCCCCGGCCCTGGTTGGTTGTGCGGGTGGCAGCCACTCAATGTGTCCCTTTCATGTCAATGTTTCTCTCTCTCTCTTCCTCCCTCCCACACTATCTGAACAAAAAATGGAAAAAAAATGTCTTGGGGTGAGGATAAAAAAAAAAAGAACAAGGACAGCCCTGGCCAGTGTGGCTCGGTTGAGTGTCATCCATGCACCAAAAGGTGTTGCTGGCTTGATTTCCAGTCAAGGGCACATGCCCGGATAGGGGGGCATGTAGGAGTCAGCTGATCAACATTACACTCTTACACTGATGTTTTTCTTTTTCACTCCCTCTCGCTTCCTTTCTTTCTAAAAATCAATAAACTTTTTTTTTTTTTAAGAACAGGTACAAATATTAAGTTCTGTGTTTAAGGGGGTTGGGGGGTAGGTGGGAATACTCAACAACTTAGTTTCCCAAGGATAGAATTAGGAGATCTGTCTTGATAACATTTTATTTGAAGATGATTTGGGAGGGTAGGGTATGAACCTTAATTGCCTTTAAGCTCAATTTATACCAGGCAAAATTTTGGTTGGAAAAGTATAAATCTCTCTCTTGGTACTGCAGATTGGGGTCATACACAAAAACCTGTCTTGGTGTAGACTAGGTGTTTAGATTCATGGCAAATAGGGGATAAGTAGATCTCATTAGCAAATACGGGCATATCTTGTGGCTGGCAGTTTCAGTACATATGTTACAAATATTACTCTCTCTACTAGAAAAGCAGAGATTTCCTAGTGCACTTCTTTCTATACATTTTGTCTTTTATATTTAGAGTCTACTGCCAACTAACAATTTTTCTTCTTCTTTTTTTTTTTTTTTTTTTGTTGAAAGTGTTGACTTGGAGACAAATAGAGGCCCAGAGCAAGAGCGACAGTGGGACAGCTGCCCCGACTTCCCTGGGCATTGAGAAGTATGTATGCTATGTTCAGGGAGCTCTTATTTAATGTATCATTGCTTGGACCAGATTTAAAAAAAACAATTCATCTCTTACCCTGGATTTCTCTGACCTGGCAATTGTTTTGTTCCTTGGATGCCTGAATTTCTTTTTCTTAGTCCCAATTTATGTCAGTGTAAGTGGCCTCTGCATATCCCTTTTTATTACCCTAAAAAATACTTCTACCCACTCTACTTTTACATTGCTCTTAACTTTGGAATCAGAACACACATGAAAACAGTAAAGCTAAATTTCAACATAACAGTTTTATAAAGCGGTTTAGGTTATGGTGACTTAGTAGAATACAAGCAAGAAAATGTGTCACATTTATACCAAATTAAGGATGTTATGTTATTAATGTATGCAACTTTAATTTTCTTTAACACTGTCTGCCAAAATAAACTTTATTCCTTATAACTTAAAATGTGTGTGTGTGTGTGTAATCATTTATTATGTACAGTTAATCCCACTGTTTTGGCTGCATTAAATTAATTTTCAAATTAAAAAATTTTTTTTCTTTGAATATTGTTGTGTGGTGCTTGTGGGAAGCAGTGAGCTATTTTGAGATATAATAACAGAAGTTGAGTTACAAAAGGTTGGGTAGTAGAGAAGACTTCCTTGGGTTGTGGGTAGCAGCTTAACTAAGAAAACACATTCTGAGGGGTTGGGTTTGAGTGCTGTCTCCCAAAAGTAAAGACGTTACCAACAATATATTAGAGCAGTTAGTTAGTAGGCAGAAACATTTATCTTAGAAACACAGATTTAGACCCTTAATTTTAGTGTTGCCTTCCCTAATCCAGTTGAGCAGAGTTGATTACTTTGTTTCTTTTGGAAAAACTGTAATGTAGACATTCCTCTAGGACTGTATTCATCACAGTGTATTGCAGTAATTTTGTTTTGTTCAGTTTTGACATTTCTGTTTCCCTGGCTAGGCTGTTAGTTATTTGAAGACAGATACTTGCCTTCATTCATGCTTTTATTCTCCAGCATCTACTCATATGTGTCTGAGACAGCAACAATAATAATACCTATTTGCTGAGTGCCTAATACTGTGTACCAGTCACTGTGCTAAGTGCTTTATTTGCCACATAACTCTCTCAATAGCTAGTAAGGTAATTACTTTTTTTTTTTTTTTTTAAATAAAGAAACTGAAGAGAAATTGTAACTGGTTGAGATCACGAGGGCAGAACCGGCAAAGCCTACCTGACTTATGTTCTTTCCCCAGTGCTGCCGTCTCTCATGTAGTGGGAAGTTAATAAATGCTTTTCCCATTTTGAAAGGTACATTGGTCTGCTTTTTTGAGAAGGAAAAGTTTTACTTGCATTCTCCCAGATTATTAAATGCTTAAGACTTATTTCTTCTATTTTAAAGACCTCCAGAGAACTTCTTCCTTAGAGCTAATCCAAATCTCCCTTGCTATAGTAATTGAGTAGTAACGGCCAGAAAGAGAAGTCTAAGATGGCAAACTTTGGAAAGTTTTCTTTAGCTTCTTAAAACTAAGATGATCTTATGAGTCAGGCAAACCTGGCTTCTGATAATTGTTGGCTATAGAAATGTGGGGAGAAAAGTACCCCTTTTTTTGGGGAGGGGGTATGTGTCCCTAGCGGGAACTGAACCCAGGACTCTCTGGTCCACAGGCCAACGCTCCAGCTGCTGAGCCAAACTGGCCAGGGCAGAAAAGTACCTTCTTAATAGGGCTGGAAAATTAATTGAGAAATTGTGTTTAAAGCACCTTCCACAATTATGAAATACTTAAATATATGTTCATTTTCTTCCTTTGTCCCTAATGATTCCATTTTCACTGATGTCCAATAAGCCTTACATCAAGGACATAGTTTTCTCTCTTTCCACAAACTCAACTGTTATAAAAAGATAAAAATAACGATGTGTATGAAATTATGCAGAAGCCTCTGGCAGAACCACATGGTTTTCGTAACTTCCTAGTTGATGTTGCAAGTTGTAGAATTAAAGAATTTGGCATATGGACAGACTTGATTTACTAATCAGACAAGTTCATCTACCCTGGTAAAATTGTCATCTTGATTTAATGCTTATGGTGCTCCCCTTTCTGTCTAAATTTTAACTTCACTTTGAAGAAACTATTACACTTAGATTCAGAATAGTTTGACAGGATATTTTATGTCTGAAGAACAATCAGCATTGTTTGAGATAGTTAGAAGAGCTAATTTTATTACCACCCTACTGCTGTATCAGCAGGGTACAGAGAAACAGCCAGGGAAAACCACTAATCACTCAGTCCTTTTGATTGTCATTGGGTTAGTTTTACTGGTGGTCCTGTTGAGCAAATCTGCATTAATTGACATGTCTCCTCCACATAATAAGTTTGAGAGGTGAAAACACAATTTGAGACATATCCAGGAGCCCAGTGGCAAAAGCAAATCTTAAAACTTCTTTTTCTCTTTTTCTTCTGATTGGCTAGGAATGAAAAGTGTTACCTCTGTAAATCCTTGGTCCCATTCAAAGAGTACCAGTGTCATGTAGAGTCCTGTCTCCAGATTGCAAGGGATGACCAAAGAGATGAAGAGAGTGGGAGAGTATCTTCAGCTGTGGAGGGGAAGCAGCGGCAGTGGCCGAGGAACACAAAGGTATGTGGGGTGTTTTGATAGGAAAGGCTACCTAAATTTCCACAGTTCTTTCTGTTACGGGTTTTTTTCTCCCCTCCCTTTCTTCTTTTCTTGTGTTTATCTTGAAACAAGATTTGTACTTTTTAAAATTACTATTTTTCTTTTAATTAAAAACTCATATATGCTCATTGTAGAAAATATGGAAAGTTTTTTTTTTTTTTAACTATGAAGATGTTGAATATAAACTAAAATTGAAAAAAAAAAAAAGTATGAGGAATCGGGACATTATCAACCATAATTTCTTCCAGTCTTTTTTTCTATGCATTTTTGATGTAGTTGGCAACATACTATATATGTGTGTATGTCTGTGTGTGTATGTATACCTAACACTGTAACATAAACACCTTTCTTGGTTTATTTTTAAACTATTAAAGAAATTACTCTCGCCCTGGCCAGTTTGGCACAGCTGTTAGAGTGTCGGCCTGCGGTCCAGAGAGACCTGGATTCGGTTCCCATTAAGGGCATGTACCTCGGTTGTAGTTTGTCCCCGACCCTGGTTGGGTTGTGCGGGAGGCAGCCACTCGAAGTGTCCCTTTCACATCGATGTTTCTCTCTCTCTCTCTCTCTCTCTCTCTCTCTCTCTCTCTCTCTCTTCGTCTCTCTCCCTCCCACTCTATCTGAACAAAAAATGGAAAAATGTCCTTGGGTGAGGATAAAAAAAATTACTCTTAATGTTTGTATCACACAGTCACTTAACCATTCTCATTATTGGACATTCAAGTTCTTTCCAGTTCTTCTGTATTATAAGACTGTTTAAAACATTACTCAGTTTTTGTACCACTGATTATTTCCTTCAAATAGATTTCCTGAAGTGGAACTCTTAGGCAGTGGATAAAATCATTTAAAAATTTCGTGAAACATACTGCCAAATTGCTTTCCAGAAGGGTTATCCAGTCATACCCTCCCTGCCAATATGTGAGATCAACTCTTGAACGTTTTATGTGCCTAGCCTTAGGGAAGCTGTGGGGTCAGGCCCTTGGTCACTGGGAAGATGGCTATGCTTTCTGGGCTTTGTGATTAGAAATTAGGAAAAGCAAGTCTTGGCTTAACAGCAGCTCCATATTCTAGGCTTACTCACATAGCAATCACTGTACACTAACACGAAGAAGCCATTATCTGTCAGGATAGAAGAAAGGGACCCCTTTATGAATGAGGTGGTTTGTACTGATGATTTGGAGTTGGCTCTTAAAGGTATGTGCTTATATAGAGCCAGTTTATTCTTCTGGCAACACTGTCCCTGGAAGTTACCTCAAAACTGTTACTGTCTATTTTAAATCTCTCTAAATCTATCGTAGGCCAAAGGCTACTGTTGTTTAATAGGATCTTGGTGTAATAATTTGCCTTCACTCATATCCATCCTTGGATAATATTGGCATAAAGATGTATTCTCTTCATCATGGTTTGCTTTTTTCACTTGTCATTTATTAGAAAGCAAAAGACTTTCTTAGAGATGTGCCTGCACACCTCTTTCTTCTGGAGACAGGTGTGATCTGGGCTAAGAAAGTTGTATTTTAGATTCTGCACTGTGAGGTAACCCTTTCCTTTTATCTATTTATGTCACAGGAAAAAGGTTACAGTGAAGGTCGACTCCTCAGTCTCTTGGAACAGTCTGAGCACAAAACTGTAGGTGAGGACCCCAGGACCAATTTTATGGGCTTTTGGCTAAGGCCTTCCAGTGAAAAGAACCACTACCAACACCCTATTTGTTGAAGTTGTGTGGGTACACATTTGACCTAAGTGACCTGCCTTTGAAATTCGGTCTGGGTCATCTCTCCCTAAGGAAGATGGGGAGGTAGCCTGTCTTATTCATCATGTATTTCATTTCAGGTTTTATAAAGCCTAAACTTTCAGGACTGCCTATTGAACTGGGAAAAAATATTTCCAGATGACAGGGCAATGACACAAGCCCCAAGTGCCTTCTAAAGGAACACACATGGGAAATCAGACATGCCAACGTTCCTGCCTCCTCCTAATGTTTTGTGCTTCTTTCATATGTTGTCTTTAGCTTAGTGTTCCAGCCTATGTTCCTGAGGGATTGTAGGAAGTAACTCTGCCTCTTTGTGCCTGGTATCTAGGGAGTAGTAGAGTAGATTGGTTACAAGCATTGCACAGAGTTAGTAATACCAACTTCACAGATTATAAGGATTATATCTAATAAAGCTCCAAACATTCCCTGGCACAAGTAGGTCTTTGATTAATGTTAGCTACTATTATTACTGTGGTTGTTATTAGTTGCTATTGTTAAAATTCACTAGGTGCAGATGGAAGAGGAACTTTTGCTTAAGCTTTCTGATGACTATAAAAAGCAGCCTCTCTGAGCCCCATGTCCTGCTGCCTCTAGATCAGCAGGTTGTGATTCTCTGCAGGTGACAGATTTCCCTTGGCAACTACTTGTTCCTCAGTCTAGATTTGAAGTAGATTTATTTAGAGGTTGTTCATTTAAAAGTGTTCACCTCAGTACTTCTGTAGCTGTCTGTTGGATCCTAAATGCTCACATTCCATTGGTCTGGAGGTTGGGGAACTGAGCTATGGAGATAAGCCTGATGAAAAGCAGTGCCTAGAATACAGGAGGCACATGATCAGTGGGAAGTGGTGTGATTATAACATCGCTAACAATATTATTACTTTTTCTCTCCTATTACAGATGCAGAGATAAAGACCAAGTTTTCAGAAACAGTGGCCTTCAGGTGAATTGGGGTATGCATTGAAGTGTGGCTGTCAGAAGTCTAGAAAAGTGCAGGCCTGGTCCTGGGTTCTGTGTATAGTGTGATACTCAAAATGTTGAAGTTAGAAATCACTGTGGACCTCTCTCTGTATACCTCTGTGACCTCCCCTATATCTTGGCTAAAAATTGGATAGTATCTCAGTTCACTAACGGTGTTAAAACAAGCAGAGCAAAAGCTATTTCTTACTCCTGTCTACCTTTCTATCCCTACCCAACCCTGCTCTTCTGACTTGGATTTCAAGCAGCTTGGGTATTTGGGTCTGAATCCTCATTTTGTCACTGACAATCTGTGTGGCTTTAAGGTTTATGATTTACTCAATGTCCTCATCTGTAAAAGGGGAATGATATTATCTAGTTGGATGATTACAAAGATTATGTGAATTAATAATGTAAAAGCCCCTGTTACAATGCATGATGCATACTTAGTGTTTATTTGTAGGTGTATATTGAATTCTGAATTTTTTCCCCTTCTCTCTAGGGTACCCTCGGCAGGGATGGAAGAGGCAGGCTGCAGCAGGGAGATGCAGAGTTCCTTTACACATCTCAACTTAAATGAGTCTCCCATCAAGTCTTTTGTTTCAATTTCAGAAGCCACAGATTGCTTAGTGGACTTTAAAAAGCAGTTTACTGTCCATCCAGGTAGCCGGACACGGTCCAAAGCAGGCAGAGGAAGAAGGAGAAAATCCTGAATTTCTAGGGTCTGAAGGTGGACAAAACTATTAGCAATAGGGGTGGGCCATGGCCATTAAACTTTAGTGGCCCCCAGTTCATTGTTGAGCAAGTTTTGACCCTGTGGTTTCCACCACCAGCACCCACTCAGCATTCTAATTTTTGTGTTTTCTATGCTCCATACAAACAACTGTGTATAATATTCTGTTTTATAAGTCTGTTTGAATTCACTTATAGTTAAAATTTAAATATATTTATCTATGTTTGTATGAAATCTTATTTCAATGAGACAGAGATCTTCCCTTTTTTTCCCTCTGTGTTATAGGGTTTGGGGTGGGGATATTTTAATTGTGGGGCTAGTTCTCAGACTCATAAATTACATGTCTCTGAATGAATTTTTTACTGGTCTTTGATATACTGCCTATTTTCACTGAATGTGTAGTACACAATTTCAAACACTGTGTGGTTTATTCCCCTGACATCATTCTGCAAGGTGCCAGGGCATTGAATCCTACTCTTGTTCTGCTATCCCTACCATTTAATAACCTCTTACTTCATCTCGCTGCCTCACCCAGTTAAGGATTCTCAGCCAGCCCTGGGTGGGTGGCTCAGTTGGTTGGAGTGTCATCCCATGCACCAAAACGTTGCAGATTTGATTCCCAGTCAGGGCACATACCTAGGTCATGAAGGGCACGTACAGGAGGTAACCATTCGTTTCTTACATTGATGTCTGTCTGTCTATCTCTCTCCCTCTCTCCCTCTCCTCTCTTACTCTCTCTAAACATATTCCTGGGTGAGGATTGAAAACAAAACAGAATTCCCACCAGAACATAAGTCTTTTGAGGTCTATGTCCTGTCATTCTTCCCAGGAATTTGTAAGTGAACACTCTGTTTTTAGTTGCTTCCTATGCAATTATTTTTCCTTTCTAGATTAACCAGTGGGGATGCCAGGCATATTCACCTGTTAAAACTGTGATTAGTTCTCTCCCTGTCAGAGGTCATAGCAGCAATAGGAAATAGGTTCTGCTTCAGCACATTAGTAGAAAGTGCACATTCTCAATCACATTGCCAGGAGTTTCCAAAGCAGAAGAGAGATGTGGTATCTCCTCAGTGCATAGGCAGTTGTGGAGGGTGTTGAATGGCAGAAGCAACTACCTGAGGAAGATGACCAAAAAGGGATGTTAGAAAAGCTAGCTTTGACCCAAACTGATTTGAAGATGTAATAACAGACTGTGTGTGGGAGGTGGTGGAGGAACAGGAAAGGATCCTGGAACAGGATAAACAGGGACACAGTCAGACTCTCCTAACTTTTGATTTATCAGGTCCAAAGTTACTTTTTCCTTTATTTTAAAATGAAAATGAAGTGTGTGTTAGACTGAGGAGTTCAGAGATAGCTAGGATGGAAGGCATAGTGCAGGACTTTAAGGAAAGCACTGTTTTCTGTTTGGGTGCCTTGCACACGAGATCTTCGAGTTAGGCAGGCTGGCAGGCAGGCTCACTGTCTGTTCCTTCTGTGTCTTGGTGTGGATGGCGCTGACATTGAGATCAGCATCCCATAAGTAATACTAATTATTTTTTGAGCAACTACTATGGTTCAGGCAATGTATGTACCTTCATTTAATCCTCATAGCAATCCTGTGAGATAGGTATTATCCTCCCCAATTTTCAGATGAGGAAACAAAGGCTGAGAACAAATAAAGCCACTTTTTGTCCAGTGATACTACAGTGTCCCTCCTCTTCACTCCTAAAGAAAATGCAACATTTTGATTCTAGTATTGATTATTTTCCTTTTAATGAAAATTATTTCCTTCTAAGTTTATCAGTTATGTCCCATCAGCTTAACTCTCAGTCTTCTAATTAAATCGCAATTTATTGGAGGTAGAGTTATATAAATAAGGGATAGTATGTTTTCTCTCTTCCTGAATATAAGAAAAGGGAAAGGGCTGATTTTACTTAGCTTAAAATTGAGCAGTCTACTAGAACATGGATCAGTGGCAAATTATTGGAGTAGAGCATGGATAAGCAGGACTGGGAACAATAGGGTTTTAGCTAATGGGGAGTCAAAAGGAAACAACCACCTCCCCAGGTCATTCCCCAGCCCCCACTGTTTTTGGTAAAGGCTACTTGTTTGTTTTGTCACCCCCTCCTCCACCAGTGGTCCTATAGGAGGGGCATTGCTAAGACAGTGAAGAGACAAAGTCAGTGGAAAGACTATCACATCAACCTGAGTCTGAATCCCTGTTTCTGATACAAGTTAACCTCTCTGAGATCTAGTTTCCTTGTCCATAAAATGGGAAAAAATATTACTTACTGGGTTCTCAGGGATAAGATAAGGTGTATAAAGGCATAGTATCTATTGCATAGAAGATGATGAAGAAGTGGCAGCAGTTGCTATTAATGTGATGCTAGTTTTGTATGTCATAAGTAGTGTTACAGTGAGAGGCAGAAAAGCCAGAGAGAGAGGTGGGGTGCAGATACAGGAAGAAACAGTTCTTAAAGGAGTGAGCCTTCTACCTTAGCTCCATCAACCACCAGCCTTCCACATCAAGCTCGAACCCTGGGCATTTAGAGCCCTCCTAGAGTCCCTGGTGGGTTTTTTTGCTTCTTCCAAGATGGGAAGCCCCTGTTCTGTCAGTGTTACTGACTCATGGAGATCTAGAAAGCTCCATGAACTTCACAAGCTATTGCCATAAATTGAGAAAGAGAAGGGGACTTCCCTGTGTTAGGCATTATGGTTGTTCTTTCCTTTTGTTCCTACAATAGCTCTCTAGCAGAAGCAGTGCATTGCCCATTTCCCCTGGGTACTCATCATTCTAGTACATACCCCACATGGTCCTATTGCAAGAACCTGTGACTGCAGTAGCAGTTCTCTAGGCTTGTGTGGCATAGGCTGGGAGTGCCAGGTAAGTTGGGCCCCTGAAGCAGCCCTCAAACTGAAAGGTGAAAGTTGGAGGATAAATAACACAATTGCCTCGCCTCTCAGGTGGGTGCATTCTAACCAGTTCCCTTGTAGGGCTTAGCTCCTACAGCAACTGGATTACATATGCTCTACTGGCTTCCTTCCCTCCCTGTCTCACTGCCAACTCCCCTGTCAGTGATCCTGGATCAGGGCTGGGGCTAGGGTAAGGAGCCCTCACTCTTGGGTTCATGTAAGGGCAGGGTTAACACTCATGAACTTGAGGACCTCTTTACATTTTATAGCAGGGCAGCTCACATGCATCATCCTAATCCCAGCCCTGGTCTGGATCACTTCCCAATTAAACTATTTGTACTCAAATTTGATCTAATTCTGAAGGAACCAAACTAAGGCAAATCCTATGGAAAAATTAGTCTCCATGTTTTACACACAGACAAACTGAGGCTCAGAGAAGTGAAGAAATTTGCCTAAGGTCCTACAGCTGGTAAATAGGATGGGATTTGAACCCAGGTCTGTCTGACAGCAGAGCTAATGCTCTTGTACTTCACTATACTACCTTCTACCTCTCCCTTGAGTTATAAAACTCGGTGGAGATTTCAGATTTGGATGGGCTTTCTCACCTGTGAGGCAGGGCAGCTTTGGCCCCAAGATGATTTAGCAAATAGAGACAGGTGAGGGGAAGGCAGATGGCACTCAGTGGACAGTAGTACCGGTGAGAAGATGGAAGCATGTGTAAACCTAGTGGAAAAACGGCTGAAGTCATATGCACTAGGAAGGCAGGAAGAGGCTACTAATTACCTCTCATTTTCAAAAGCCCTGGACTATTGAGGTGTAGTGGGAGGGCTCTTCAATTTAACAAAAATTAACATACTTATTCCTTGTCATGTCTAGAACTGGGACCCGGAGCTCTAAAGAGTACGAAACATGTGCTTGGAGCCCACCGTAGTCAATGCAACAATGGGGAAACATCCAAGACACTATGGGATCCATAGGCTGCACCTACCTGGGGTTAGGGCCAGGAGGAGCTTATCAGGGAAGGTTCCCTAAGCATCCAAACATCAGTGATGACTGGGATGTAACTTAAAGGTGAAAAGGCTGGAAAAGGTGAAGAAGGAGTCATCCCAGACAGAGCAACATGAACAAAGACCTAACAGTAAAGCAGCTTGATGGGTATAGGAGAGCTGCAAGGCACATCCTAGTGAAAGGGCATGGGGGGGAGCTGTGGGGAGCTTATTGGGGGCCTGTTGGCCTTATTGTTAGACATTGTCTGCTGTGAGAAGCAAGCCTGGGACCAACTCAGAGGAGGGTGGGTCTGGCTGTGGCCTACCTTTCCTCCTGCTGACCACCTTTCCCCATTTCTTAGTTCCTTCTGGACAGCTGGAGATCAGCACTAGGGGCTATGAGGGAGCCTTGTTAGGATTTGTCCTTCCCCTTGTTGGTCCGTGGCCATCTGGCCACTGCTATGCCTCTGCTGCAGCCAGGACTATTAGCTGTTCACAGACCTCAAGTCCAGGCTGCCTCCCCTCTCCACAGGTCCTGACACAGCCTAGGGTTCTGGGACCCTAGCTTCTGGGGAGATGGACACAAGATTTCCAGAAACAGATGAGGAGCCCTGGCTTTGCTTGTCAGGGACATATCCTCACTCTGCCTCAGGAGACTGCAGACTGGCTGTCAACATTAATCACAGCTGGGCCTTTCACATTCAGTTCCATAGTCTCCCCTCCCAACTGAACAAAGTTGAGAGAAACTGGAACTCCAGGCCAGGTCGAACACTATGTTGTGAGTAACTGCCCTCCCCCCCATTCCCATCTCTGAGTTCCCTGACTTTCGGGGCCTATATGCCTGATTGGTGCCCAGTGAACTGCACAGCAGAGATGATGTCTGGTGTTTCCAGGCCCAGTCAATGCCAAAACTGATACACGAGCTACTGTCCCTGGTCTCTGTCATCCTGGTGTCATGAGGAGGCCATGTACTATGTGGATAATGGTAGGGTTACTGTTGCTGAGGTAGCCTGAAGTTTTAAAGTATCTACCCACCAGTTTACCTGAAACAAAAATTGATACAATGTTTTTTCCTACTATGATGGGTGTCTTAATTCATTTGGGCTGCTATAACAAAATGCCATAGACTGGGTAGCTTATAAACAATAGAAATTGATTACTCCCAGTTCTGGAGCCTGGAAGACTGAGATCAGGCCCTGGCCCGTTTGGCTCAGCGGTTAGAGCATCAGCCCAAGGACCAGAGTTCCGGGTTCAGTTCCCGCTAAGGGCACGTACCTTGGTTGTAGTTTGTCCCTGGCCTCGGTTGGGGTCGTGTGGGTGGCAACCAGTCCATGTGTCTCTCTCACATCGATGTTTATCTCTCTTCCTTTCTCTCTCCCTCCCACTCTATCTGAAGATAAATGCAAAAATGTCCTCGGTGAGGATAAAAAAAAAAAAGACTGAGATCAGGGTGCCAGCATGGTCGGATGAGGGCCGTCTTCTGGTTGCAGACTTCTGCTTGAGTGGTAGAAGGGGTGAGGGGTCTTCTGGAGCCTATCATGAGGAAACTTATCCCATTCATGAGGGCTCCATTCTCATGACTTAATCATCTTCCAAAGGCCCCACTTAATACAATCACATTTGGCATTAGGTTTTCAACATGAGTTTTGGAGGGACACTCATTTCATACTGTAGCAGCAAACCCATTGCTGCTCCAAGATTCTGTGCATTCAAGACTAGTTCAGAAGAAAACCAACTTGGTGGCCAACAGCTTATCTATGGCCTGACACTCCCCTTCCGCTTTCAGTAGAGAAGACCTACTTTGAACCTCAACTTGCCCTGCCCACTCGAGGGCAGTTAGTCTCTTCTGTGCTCACATGACTGCTAACTCACTGTACTTCCACGTTTTACAAAATTGTCCATTGGATTGCATATTTCCCAGGCTAGGCCCCTTCATTTTCTTTCCAGGGGTTGGTTGCTACCTGAAAACTCAGACTCAGAGTGTATGTAAAATGGTCGGAACTCCCAGTATAGAGAGGGCATGTCCTGGGGCCGTTGGCCCAGATCAGGTCTCCAACTTCCTGCAGTCATCTTTCTTAAGTTTGCACCATGGCCCAATCTACCCCAAGCTCCTCTTAGGGCAGACCCAAAAGGAAGTGAACTAGCTGTTGTCTAATAAGAGGGTGGGGCTTGGGGACATTATTACTCAGGTTACTTGTGAATTTCACTTTGGGTGCAAACCAGGTCAGTGGGATGCCTCACACTGAGAGAAAAGAGCTCAGGCCTGAGGAGACTGACCAGCGGCTGCTTTCCCCAGGTAAGAGCCTCCTCCTCTGTTTATTTCCTACCTGCCTCAGCTCAAACCCTCACCCTCATCTCTGCTGCTTGGCCCATACTGGACTACCTGCCCACGCGATTTACAAAACTGTATTAGCACCTACATATGCCGAACCCTGTGCTGGGCATTGAAGATGCAGAGGTGACTCAGATATGGTGGTTCCAGACTCAGGGAATGCTGAACGAAGGCTAGATAGCAGGAGGCAGAGTGAAGCTTGTAGTTAGTGTATAGCCTGAGTATGAAGGGAAGTAGTGAGAGGAAGCTTGGTTGGAGGACTGTGAGAGAGGCCTGTAATGTCACAACAAAGAGTTTTGGACTTATTTTTTTCTGCAGTGGGAGTCATCACAATGTGACATTTGACTTCTTTTCTTAGGGGAGATAGATCTGGGGAATGACATGACAAAATCTATCTTTGCACACTCACTCTGGTGACATGTTGAGAGTTGGAGTGGGGAGGTGGACAGACTAGATCAGGAGAAGCTGGAGGACAGAAGAGTCATAGGCAAAAGTGAAGGAGAAAATGAATGTGGCTTTGACTGTTGAGTTTGACATCTGGGACATGATGTCTAATAGACCATAGAATTTGGAATTTGGGGATGAGTAAGATAAAGAGTGAGTGTGGAAAGGAGAGCTATCAGAAACCTGAACCCCATCGTTTAAGCAGAGAAGGAGTTAATGAAGAAGATGAGACATTTAGGAAGGAGACCAAGGAGCAACTGGCTGTTAAAGCCAAAGGACAAGAGGATTTTGTAGTGAAGGGAATGCTCATGGCTTTGCATGCCTGAGAGAAGGCAGTACTGGTGGAGACTGAGAACTGGGCAGTCAGGAGACTATTGGTGAACACAGGGAGTGATGGGAGTAGAAGGTGTGAGGGGTGGCAGGGATGGGAAGGTGTCTTTTCTGCAGTTTGCTTTTCCAGAAGAGATGGAGTGATTCGGTGGACAGATGCCTTCTGCCCATCTTGGGCCCTCCACTGTATTTATCATTTCCTTCATTTCTGAAGGGCACCTGGATCACTGAAGGCTCCCTTGGGATCCTCCTGGAACAGCAATACGACCTCTAGCTTGAGTGAACACAGCACCTGACGTTTCTATAGTCCTTTACAATGTGTGGAGGACTTTCAAAATTATTAACTCCTTTAATCCTAACAGGAACTGCTTTTTTTTTCCTATTCTAAAAGAGGGAATTGAGGTTCATAGAGTTTCCATTCAGATACAGCTAAATAAATCTGAAGACACCAAGCAAGGTTCTTTTGTTCTCATTATCTCATTTGCTCCACACAGCCCTTTGACTTATGTTGGTCTCATTTGGCAGATGAAGAAAATCAGGTCCTGAGACTGAACTACCTGGGGCAGTGGCTCTGAGACCCTTTAAATTAAATTTCCCAAAGCATTTTCCCAGGTGTTATTCCATATAATTCTCACAACAACCTTGTACAGGTAGACATTTCCTTCTGTGTTACAGATGAAAAAAATGAAGTTCAAAGAAGTCATAAATGACTTTCCCAAAGTTTGTGCCACTACTGGGAGCCCTTACTGAAGCACAGATCCACCCCCCAGCCCCCATCTCTCCTCAGGAAGAAATCCATGCACCTCAGCTTGACATAAAGACTGTCTGCAGTCCAGCCTGCTTGTTGCTCCAGCACATCACACCCTTTCTTCCAAAAGCTCTAGCACATTTCTGAACTCCCAAGCACAGCAGCATGTCCATCTTGATTGATGCCTATGTCAACCCGACTGTGATTGCTGTAGGGCTGTGAAGTCCTTGAAGGTTGGGCTTTGACTGGCTTCATCTGTACCCCAGCATCCAGCAGAGTAGGCATCAGGAACCAGTAAATGTGAACGAATGACAATGAATGAAAGGCATTGGGAATAGAAATCAGCCTTCCTGGTGCTCTCTTATTACACATGCTTCTGGAAACTTGAAAGCCTTCTGGTTGATTACTAAGGGATCTTTGATGGTCAGAGGTTCTGAGCTTTGCCCATAGCTTCCTTCCTGTCCCCTTCAGAAAGAAGAAAGTTAAGGGTCTGAGTAACAGCCTCCTAGGGCCTGTAGAGTAAGTGGTTCACCCAGGCTGCCTCTTTCCTCCCATAGGTGGCCAACCCACATTGTGGAAGCACATGGATTCCATTCAGCCTGTAGAGTTGTGGCAAGACGAAGGAACCTCTGGCTGCCCTCAGGAGGGCTTTTCCTGCTCCCCGGACAGCTCTGAGCTGGTAAGTTCAGCACTGGGTTCCTGTCCTATATCCATTGAGGGCTGCCAAAAGCAGGATTGACTGAAGGTGATGTGGGACCATGGGATCACACGTAGGTAGCCCCTTCCAGTGTTCAGAGTTTTTCATATCTGATCTGGTAACTATCTCCTACGAGGCTGCACACAACTGTAAAGTGGGGATTAGCTCCTCACTTTTCAGATCCAGGAAAGGGGACTTAGAGAAGTGATGTGCCTCGGGTTAAGGCATGACAGGAGCCTGAGCTGAGCTGAGGTGTTTCAGTCTCAAATATATTGCTTGCTATATAGATACCAACTCTGCCTCAAAGTCTAGAAAGGACCCTCTTGGCATTCTCTGGTAGAAAGCTGTGGTCTTTTTTTTTTTCTTTATTGATTTTAGAGAGAGAAGAGGGGAGAGGGAGAGACAGAAACATTGATGAGAGAGAACATCAATTGGCTGCTTCCTGCATGCCCCCCACTGGGGACTGGGCCCACAACCTGGACATATGCCCTGATTGGGAATTGAACTGGTGACCTCTTGGTGCATTGGGTGACGCTCAACCACTGAGCCACACTGACCGGGCAAAAGCTGTGTTCTTAAGGCCCTTTCTTTCCCCACTTCTCTAGACACTCTTGCAGGTCTCCCTCCCCTCCACACAGCCATGTAGTCAGGCACACAGAGATGAGGTTACAATGGAACTTACTCCACATATGTTTCCGGTTAGCCCAGAAGTGAGTCTTGCTTTCTTTTGTCATCTTGACCAAGATCTAGAGTCCTTGCATACCACATCCTTGAGCAGGAAACACTTGTGTAAGCCATTTCCTATCTCTTAGTCTCTGTTTCCTCATCAGTAAAATGGAGAAAAAGAAAATCAAGTCCTCCCCCCACCTGGAGGGTTAAGTGAGTTACAGGAGATATAAAGGACAGAGGCAGCCCTGTGAAAGGGTTCTCCAATTGGTCAGTCCCTGCAGCTTCTTTACTTTTCCAGTTTGTTCTGACATCTGCTGCACTTGACTTGTTGCCCAAACTGTGGGGGTGTCACCCCTCACTGCATTTCATGCTCCCACTTCACCGTTGTCCAACCTCTGCCCCAGACCCTACTGGACACATTTCCTCTGTGCAGTACCCAGAGCTGGGCCACAGGAGTGAGCAATGCCTGCCACCATCTCCCACTCACTTTATGTCCCTGCTTCCTGAGTCTCCCATGTTGGTTCCACGTCTGCCCTGCTGACTTCCTTGCACACACCTGCAGTTTAAAGACATTCCCTTCGGCTTTGGGAGATTTCACAGGAATGCCATAGCCCCATGGCCTTGGCCCCACCTCGGCTCCTCTTCCCATGCTTGCTCAGAGCACAACCCCTTCTCAGATTCCCTCCCACCAGGTCTCTTTTTGTCACCTGAGGGGCAATAAATCAGGCTCTCCAGGCCAGTTTTACCTTGTGCTCTGAGGAAAGGAAACTCATATTTCAGTGAGCTTGTCCTATAGGCCAGCCACTGTTCCACCCCTTCTCAGTCCTCATAGAAAGAATGGGTGCTATTCCTTCTCTTGCTGGGTAGAGCATGGAACCTCCTCAGAGAGATGAAGCAACGGGCCCAGACTAACCTACATGCAAGTTGGTCGAGGAGCCAGCTGTGAAGCCATATTAGATTCAGCCTCTCTCAAATGCTTTGCTTCTTGCTCTCCTGGCTGAGGTATTTCCCCACTCTTCCCTGGGAGAGGTTGAGGGTAGACTCCAGTAGCTTCTCCTGGCTGCTACACACTCATCAATTGGTCAGGGAAGTCCTCCTGTCTTTCTTGTGATTTCTGCCATCTCCTTATCATTCCTCCTGAACCTTTCACTGGACCCAGGAGGAAAATAAAGAAAAAACACCCATCTGCCCAAGCCTCCAAATCCATAATTCTGCTGTTATCATTAAGCAATGAAACACATCCTTCACACCTGAACAGTACTTTACACTTTCATGTACGTGATCCCCTTTAATTCTTATGCCCCCACAACCACTCAATTGACGAATTCTTCCTGAGTATTGCCAGCCTTGAGCCTCAAGATGCAGCTGTGAATAAGACATGGGCCTAGCACTGGAGGCTTGAGGCCTTCTGAGTAGTATTATTCTTTGGGTTTTGCATAAGAGGCAACTTGTTATCTCAGAGAGAAGTTTGACTTGCCCAGGGCCACGCAGCCAGGAAGCGGCAACACTGAGATATAACTTTTCTCAGCCCAGATCCTAGGGGGTTTCTTCACTGCAATCTTCATAAATTTTGGGTTCTTTTCAGAAACCGCTAGCTTTTATAAGCTTCACACTTATGTAGAAACATTCCTGTAGTCAGACAGATCCAGGTCCAAATCCCACCCTGCGCCTTAATAGCCGCTTGGCTCAGGCAGACAACTGTCCCTGTCTGAGCTCAGTGTCCTCATTTTAACAGGAGGGACCCTTCTGCACATTCGTGACTGCTGTAAGCCTCTGCTTGATGTGAACATGGAGCCAAATGTCTGGCTCCTATTAGGGTCCTTTGCTGCCTTAGAGTTCTGTTTTCCGTCAATTCTTAAAGCAGGGGTGGGACAGAGTCATCCCATCCACCTCAGTGGGCAGCTTCTCTTTCCAGTCTCTCCCGGTCTCCTTATCCAAGTGCCCTAGTGGTTACTTAACAAATACAGTTTGGGACAGCAGGTTACAGGGACAGAATTCCTGTGCAACAGGAGGCAGGGGTCTGGGAAAGGCTAAGCCCAGGAGAATGGAGTCATGAGCTGGGACCTTCCACTGAAACCAGAGAGGCTGCTGGGCCTCTTTGAAGGGTGGGCCAGAAGGTTGTCCAGAGGAAGTTTTCATTAGAGGGGAGGTAGAAGGGCTCTTTAAGCTCCCCCACAGTGGGCTTCTGGTGGAGAAGAACCCAGGGTATCCTGTCCTTTGCTTTCTCTGACTACTCACCCTCCCTTCATTCTGATCTACTCCTGGCCCAGCCTTCCTCCAAATTTATCCCCTTGCACTGAAGAAAATCCCTTTATGCTCTTTCTTTAGATTTTCAAAAGTCTCATTCCCTTCCTTCCCTTAGGTCACCTCCACAGGAAGACCTTTCCAGACCAATATCCAAAAATGCCTTTACCTCCCTGGTCACTCTCAGTTTCTATTCCTGCTTTAAAAAAAAACAACAAAAAACTACCATTGCTACCAGACCATCTTATCTGTTTACTTGCTTATTTTCTGTCCCTTCACTGGAGTCTGAGCTCCACGAGAGCAGGCCTTGGCTGGTGGTGCAGCGTTCAGCGCTTAGCATAGTGCTGGGAATGTTGGTGGGCCTCAACCAACGTGTGTGGGAGGGACGGCCGACAGGGGAGGCTTGTCCTCTGCAGTGTGGCCTCCAAATTCTGCTCACCACGTCACCTTCAGACTCCCTGTCATGTTTTTCTGAGTTCTATCCTCTTACCTCAGTTTCCCTACTGTCACATGCTGATGTTTGGCTTGGCAGGTTTTGAGACATCACGTGACCTCTCCCTACATGTCCTGCTCCTCCATAAAGGGAGCTTTCCGGGGTGTGACATAGTCCTAGGCCCACAAGGATTCTGGGCTGGGAAAGCCTTGGGGGAGGACTCATAGGTCCTAGGACCACCACCAAGCCTCAGAGCACCCCTGGGTGGCCACACTGGGCCCCAGATGAATCACTCCTCAAAGAGCCCCAGCCCCTACCAGCTTCAGCACTGTTCAGCACTGGTCTATTGGAGAGAGCAGAACAATGAACACTGATGGTGTGTTCAACACACACACACACACACACACACACACACACACACACACACACGAGGGCTGGGCTTGTTCAGGCTCCAAAATCAAGTGGATCTTGAGAGGGAAGCACCTGAACTTGAAGTTTGTTCAAGCACATATTCATTCATTTGCTCCTTCAATGACAACCCACCGAGTAGCTTGGCTCTGGGTATTGGGGACCCAGAGAAAATCAGTTGTGGTGTGTTGGGAGAAAGGCCTTACCAAACCCTGAATTCAATAAAGTAGGAAGGTGTGAGGGTGTAGTTAGCTGAGGAGCCATGAGGGAATAAAACAGGTGGACATGGGTAGGTTTTCCCTCCAGAAATGAGCCCTCTGAGGGTGTAGGAGCTGGGTGCCCACTCTAAGTGGCCAGAGAGCCAGAGTGTATAAAGAGGTGAGGGCGGGGCTAGATGATGCTGAGACCAGCAAGGCTCAGAAAGGGTTTAGGCCAGCCTGGGGAAGTCGAGGGAGAGATGCTGGTTTGGACAGTTGAGAGGAGGTATGAGCTGGGAAGGGCTGGCCTGTCCTGGTTGGAGCTGGGGAGCTTGGCTAGGCCAACTGGGCTCCTGACCAGAGGTCAGCCTGTTTTTCTCCAGGTGCAGGAGTGCCTGAACCAATTCAAGGTGACGGGCACACAGTTGCGGCAGATCCAAGCTAGCCTCCTGGGCTCCATGGAGCAGGCACTGAGGGGCCAGGCTAGCCCCACCGCTGCTGTCCGGATGCTGCCCACATATGTGTGGTCCACCCCACATGGCACTGGTGGGTGACATAGACTAAGACAGGTGGCCAGGCCTGGGGAGAGGGTTGTAATCTGGGGAGGAGGAAATTTCTAATTCTTGTCCCTATTTCTAAGGTCCCTTGACAAGACTTTGCAGGTCTTGGGAATGTTTCTTGGAGGCAGAGGGCTTAGTATCAACATCTGCATACCTCTCTGTGATCTCTTGTCCTCAGAGCAAGGAGACTTCGTGGTGCTGGAGCTGGGAGCCACGGGGGCTTCACTGCGTGTCCTGTGGGTGACCCTGACGGGCACTGAGGGACACCGGATTGAGCCCCAGAGCCAGGAGTTTTTGATCCCCCAAGAGGTGATGCTGGGTCCTGGTCAGCAGGTGAGGGCTCACTGCCCGGGCTTTGGGACCACAGGGTGGCTGGGGCTCTGGTGACAGAGCTGAGCCCTTTATGTGTCCCACAGCTCTTTGACTTTGCTGCTCGCTGCCTGTCTGAGTTCCTGGATGCGCTCCCTGTGGGCAACCAGAGCCTGCAGCTTGGGTTCAACTTCTCCTTCCCTTGTCACCAAACGGGCCTGGACAGGGTGAGGCAGAGTGAGCCTAGGATGGTGTGAGGAGGGGCTGCAGCCCCATGAAGGCTGTTGGAGTGACCCCTCTTTTCTGTCCCCAGAGTACCCTCATTTACTGGACTAAAGGTTTTAGGTGCAGTGGTGTGGAAGGCCAGGATGTGGTCCAGCTGCTTCGAGATGCCATTGAGAGGCAGGGGGTGAGTGGAGACAGGGGCGCTGGGTGCCTAGGACCTGCCCTGTGCTTCTAGGAGGGCCTGCTTTCCTTTCCCACTTACATCCTTTATTCAGTTTAACCCTGGGGTAAATGCTGCTACCATTCCCATTCTCTAGGTAAAGAGACTGAGGCCAAGAAAGGTCAAATCGATGAATGGTTAGGACTGTGGAGGGTGGAAACAAAGATGAAAAGTCTTGACCATGTCCTCAAAGACCTCACGGTCTGATGGGGAAAGCATTCCAAAAAAATGGTCCCTGTTGAGGAGGTGGTTTCGATGACTCTGGGAGCCCTGGGGAGGACCTGATGGGACTCGAGCAGCAACTGGAGGAGGAGTTTGCCAGGTGCACAGGCTGGGGCTGGGAAGATGTAGTTTCAGAGAAGGGCAAAGGTCTGGATGCCTGAGGAGGCCAGTCTGTCTAGACAAATGGCCACTGTTCTGTGAGAGTGGCTGAAAGTCCAGGCTGGGAGGAAGGGGCTTGAGGAGTCAGGCCAGGGTGAGAGTGAGCCAGCAAGGGGCTCCAGTGTGGTCTTCAAGGTGCCAGGCTCCCTGGTCCTGGTCCTGTGAGGAGCACTGGTGTTCTGGAGAGGGTCGCTGAGGGTGGGAGCCACTGAGACCCCCAAGGCCTGAGTTGGGGGTGGAGGAGCCAAAGGAGCATGGGATGGAGGAACCTTCCTCTATGGGGTGGAGGACCCAGAGTGTTTGTGACACAGATGTGTGGGGCACATGAACATGTGTTTTATGAACTCTGGGTGTCTCTATCAAAGACAGGGCCCAGCTCTGCCCAACCCCCAGGTTCCCCTGCTCTGCCTCCTCACTGTCCAGGCCTACAGCATTGATGTGGTTGCCGTGGTGAATGACACGGTGGGAACCATGATGGGCTGCGAGCCAGGGTCTGAGCCGTGTGAGGTCGGGCTCGTTGTAGGTAAGCATGGGCCATTTGTGGCAGTAGGTAGGGGGCACGGTTGCTTGGTGGGCAGGCCCTGATGGGGTCATCTCTGCCAGACACTGGCACCAATGCGTGTTACATGGAGGAGGCACGACACGTGGCAGTGCTGGACGAGGACCGGGGCCGCGTCTGCGTCAGCATTGAGTGGGGCTCCTTCGGCGACGATGAGGCCCTCGGGCCAGTGCTGACCACCTTTGACCACATCCTGGACCAGGAGTCCGTGAATCCCGGTGCCCAGAGGTGGCCTGAGCTTCTGCTCTAGGCCCTGCCCTGCCCTGCTCCTCACTCCCTCTGCTCCAGCCCTGAGGGCCTGGTCAGGCTCTAAGAAGGAGGGGCTCAAGTTTCTAGAACTCAGTTTTCAGCCCTTGGCCTTCCCTTATTTCTGACTCTAGCTAGCCCTGACAGGAGTTGGACATTGGGGGTGGCTGAGCAAAGTGTCCCCACCCCCTTTGGGTCCTGTCGCCCTCCAGAATCTCCCTAAACCTAACCTAAGCAGGAGGAGGCAGTGACATCTGAGTCAACACCTACCTGTCTTCTGGGAGGCCATTTGCTTCTGGAACCTCTAGTCTGGGGACCCCAAAGAAAATGATCCCTCCTTGAGGGCTCTTGCAGGTGGGCCCAGGTGGGCCACGGGCTTTGGAAAGCTCTGTCCAGCCACCCTTCCGGCCTGCAGGTTTGAGAAGATGATTGGCGGCCTGTACCTGGGTGAGCTGGTGCGACAGGTGCTGGCTCACCTGGCCCAGCACGGGATCCTCTTTGGTGGCTGTACCTCCCCTGCCCTGCTGAGCCAAGGAAGCATCCTCCTGGAGCATGTGGCTGAGATGGAGGAGTGAGTGTGAGGAGCCAGTGGGATCAGACAATGGGATTCTCTGTTTGGGGGAAGGAGGATGCTCTGTCCTTAGGTAGCCATGGGACTTTGGGGGAAGGGGGCAGGAAATATCTGGGATATCTGAGCCTCAAAGCAGCACCCTGTCCCCCCAGCCCCTTGGCCGGGACTGCCCGTGTGCACGCTATCCTGCAGGACTTGGGCCTGAGCCCAGGGGCCTCAGACGCTAAGCTGGTGCAGCATGTGTGTGTGGCCGTGTGCACTCGAGCTGCCCAGCTCTGCGCTGCTGCCCTGGCTGCTGTCCTCACCCACCTCCAGCACAGCCGGGAGCAGCAGGCACTTCAGATCGCTGTGGCCACTGGAGGCCGAGTGTTTGAGCGACACTCCAGGTATTGGGAAAATACAGATCCTGTGTGAGCAGGTAGCAGGAACATGTATATTTGACGCACACTCAAAGGGCACTCTGGTATCATGGCTGCAGGGTGGTGGGTATGAATGGCACACAAGCTGAGTGAGGCTAGATGAGGGCTAGGGGACCAGAAGAGGCTAGAGGAGTGAAAAGATGCTTCTTGGATGTGCAAGGGAGGGGTCCCTGGTGGCACTGGGCATGTAGTTGGTGTACAGATAAATTTAGAATTAAACTGATTTGAAATGATGGGGCCCAGGCTTCAGTAAGCCCTGGGGTCAGGGCCCATTGCCAAGCCAGGGTGGGCATGTGTCTGTGTAGGTTCCTCAGCATCCTGCAGGAGACAGTGAAACTCCTGGCCCCTGGATGTGACGTCTCCTTCACCCCTTCTGTGGATGGGGGCGGTCGCGGTGTGGCAATGGTGACCGCTGTGGCTGCCCGCCTGGCTGCCCACCGGCGCCTACTGGAGGAGACCCTGGCACCTTTCCGGCTGAAGCACGAGCAGCTGGCAATGGTGCAAGCACAGATGCGGGAGGCCATGGCCAAGGGGCTCCAAGGGGAGGCCTCCTCCCTCCGAATGCTGCCCACTTACGTCCGGGCCACTCCTGATGGCAGTGGTGAGGACCCAGCCTGAGTGTGTATGCCGGGGTGAGGCCATCCACTCTGTCCTGGCACTGAGGGTTTCTGCCCCACAGAGCGGGGGGACTTCCTGGCACTGGACCTTGGAGGCACCAACTTCCGAGTCCTCCTAGTACATGTGGCCACAGAAGGTGTGGAGATCACCAGCCAGGTCTATTCCATCCCTGAGTGCGTGGCTCAGGGCTCTGGACAACAGGTACCCACAGCCTGGGTCTCAGTTGGGGTGGGGAAGGGCAAGGTGTCCCCACCACCACCACGCTGACTTGCCTGCTCTTCAGCTCTTTGATCACATCGTGGACTGCATCCTGGACTTCCAGCAGAAGCACGGCCTGAGTGGGCAGAGCCTCCCACTGGGTTTCACCTTCTCCTTCCCGTGCAGGCAGCTTGGTTTGGACCAGGTGAGGGATGGAGGGCTGGGAGAAGCCATCCCAAGGGGCTTCCCACCCACATGCTCCTCATGGAGTCGGCAGGAGGCTGGGGAGAGACTTCAGGTGTCCTGGACTAGGGTGAGGGGCAGGTGGAGGCACCATTAGGCAGAGCCTACACTCTGCCTCAGTTTCCCTAGATGTAGAATGCCCAAGGGGATGGATGTGGTAAAGTGGCTTGAAATCCAGGGTCATGAAGAAGCCTGGGATGGAGAAGGACATGAGTATCCCTGGGGACTGCCAATAAACAGGGGAGTGGAACCAGGGTTAGCACTAGGTACTTGGGAGCATTGTGAGCCCAGATCCGCGCTGAACGCAGCACTGGTGTCCTGGCCTAGGGACCTGCAGGGAGCATCATTTGCTCCAGTCTCTCAAAGGGGCTGTGCTCACACAGGTTCTTTGCCCTCTCCCCCTTCCCAGCCGGCCAGAGTCCCTCTCAGTGTCTGGTGGGGGTTGGGTGCCTAACTGGGGTGGCAGAGCAGCAGGCATTCAGGACACACCTCTGCCTGTCCTTCAACAAGAACGCTAGACTTTTCGTGCACACTTGAGGCCTGTCAGGGAAACAGCTCCTCCTAGACCTCTGGTCCAAGTTCCCAGGAGTCCCCTCCTTAAAACCCCAACTTCTGCTGAGAAGTTGCTATGATGAGGGCACACTGTTCCTGAAGTTGCCCGCTGTGTTACTCCAGACCCGCACCACTGAACAGCACTGCCTTCTCGGCACCCATCAGCCCTTGTGTGGCTGTCGCCCTCTGCCCCAGCTCTGCCCTCCCAGATGCATGCCTCTGCCCTCTGCCTTCCTTTGTACTGCACGGTCCACAGCATCTCTCTGCTGGTCCTCTTGCTCCAGGCTAAGAAGCTGGTGCCTTTTGATTATTTCTTGTAAGGGGAGGGAAGCAGGTGGGATTTTGCAGGTGGGATTCTTGCATGCAAAATCAGACATGCAAGACACATGAACCTATTGATCTTCTATCACTGCACTAAATTTGTGTTGAGCCCACATTCTTTGAAGGGGTGAAAACTTAATATTGATCAATTCAGAGACTCCATTCCCCAGGTAGGGGCCCCTCTCAGCTGCACAGCATTCATTCTTTGCTATAAAGAATGTGCAGACACAAAGGGAAAACTCTTGGAGAGACACCCAGGCCCCCACTGTCTGGATTTGCCACTTCCTCTCTTGGGTCTTGACACCTCCCTGGGGAAGGAGGGAAGAGGTTTCCTCTGCTCTCAGACCACCCAAATACCCTGTCTCCTTCCCTGTGCTCCGAAGCGTGGGCCCAAGGTGGAGGGCATTTCTCAGGAAGCCAGCAGAAACCTGGCTCTGACTGCCCCACCTGCCCTTCCCCAGGCCAGGGGCTCTTTGTCTTGTCTGGGGTCAAGGAAGCTTTGCTAATTTGTATGATCTGGTCTCCCCAAAACTGGCCTCCCTCTCATTCACTCCCTCACTCTTTCTGCTTTCTGTTTTTGGAACAATGAGCACAGAATACGCTAGATGTGGTCACATAAGAAAAGTGATCAAACAGAATATTACTGGGGGAAATGTTGGTTAGTATTTCTAAGTCTCCTGCAGGACCTTCAGACCTGCCCTCCATGCCTCTACTTGGGGCAGAGCAGCCACTGCCTCCCCTCAGTGGTGGAGTGACCCCCGCCCCTCCCTCAGAGGAAGCACACCAAGAAAAGCACAGTCAAGCCCCCGTTACTGAATTCACAATTTAAGGCCAATTTCTCACAGTAAAGGCATATCTGTCTTGTCCCCTCCGTCTTGCCCATGTGTCTGGGTTCTGGCTTTTCTATTCATCCTTCACTTACATCTGTAACACATGAGTGACTTTCCCATTGACACACTCTGTCCCAGCTCCAAGAATTCATTCCCTCCAGTGGTTCTGGCTAGTCCTTTTTGGAAGAGCAGAATCGACTGCCATGTGGACCCCTGAGCCTCTCTGTCCTCCCCTTTCTCACACACAGCACTCATTTGACCAGCTTCATTCCTTTCTACCCCAGTTGCTAAAGGCCATTTCTTCTGGGCAAACTCTTAAAACGTCCATACCTTGAGATGATCTGAACATCTGGTACTAGTATAGAAGGCATAGGCCGAATGGTTATTAATAGGTTTCTTCACACTGGGAGGCTTCTGAGACAGAGTGCAAGACCTTCAGCTGTATGGCAGAGTGGGCCTGGGATCCTGCTTAGGGAGGGGGGGACATTGTATATTTGAGGGGATGTAGGCTTTGAGGAGGCCAAGTGAGATTCCAAGGGGCCCCAGCTTCCTGCCCTGCCTTGGCCCCACCCCAGGGCATCCTCCTGAACTGGACGAAGGGTTTCAATGCATCAGATTGCGAGGGCCAAGATGTGGTGTGTCTGCTGCGGGAAGCCCTTGCTCGCAGACAGGTAAGGAGTCTGCCTCCAGGGGTTCTTTGGGACTGTGGCAGGCCTTGAGGGGAGCAAAGGGTCTCTTTCTTTCTGAAAGGAGGACCTTTTACTGTGAGACCTCTGGGGCCATCACTGGTTGCCATGACGACCATGTTGCCCAGCAACTAGCATCATCCTTTTGTGTGCAGGCAGTGAAGCTGAATGTCGTTGCCATTGTCAATGACACAGTGGGAACCATGATGTCCTGTGGCTATGAGGACCCCCGTTGTGAGGTCGGCCTTATTGTTGGTGAGGAGGGCCCTGCTCTTGTGTGCCCCTACTGCCTGATGCTAATTCATTGCCTCCTGTTGCTTCCTCAGTTTGAACCTGGCTTTGGGGATGTGGGATCATTCTCATTTGACCCAGCAGGGCCCTGGAACACTCTATTGGGCTAAGAGTCTAGAGCTGGGTTGTCTAGCCCAGCTCAGCTGCTGACTCAATGAAGCTCTCTGAGCCTTCTGTTAAATGAATTAGCTTTGATATCTGATAGACTTGGGTGAGAATACTGGCTTTGTCACTTTCACCTGTACAACATCAGGCAGGTCACCAGAGTCTCAGTTTCCTCATCTCTAATAATACTTATTTTGAGGCAAAGCAGTGCCCGGCTCATGGTATACTCTCCGTGCTTGGAGCTGGGTGCGGGCCAGGGGTTGACAGAGAATGAGCTGTGAGGGTCTTTCAGGTCATCCAGATTCTAAGTCTTTATTGAACACCTATCCTGTGGCCAGCTGGAGACTGGATGAAGGAACAGAAAGAGACATAAAGAAGGGGGAAAACACATGCCTTCTCAGAACTGACCATTTAGCAGGGGTTGAGCCCAGAATAAGCATGTGGCATTCAGAGAGAGCTGAGTCTGACTCTCTGCCGGGGTGACAGGCTGAGCTCAGAAAGGAAGGGATCTGGCTAGCAGGAGGAGGAGGGCTCCCACGGGTCCTCAGGCATCAGTGCCTTACAGTACAAGGTCCATGACAGCCTCTCATGGGCCTGGGAGCTTCTTGAACATGCAGCTTGGCATGGGGAGGTGCTCAGAGACCTGTGCCCAGATTGCCATGGGAATAAACCACTGGATGGAGAAAGTCCAGGTGGGGCTGACAAGGAGTCCACCTGCCTAGAGCTGACTGTGTGTTGGGATGGGAAGGGATGCCTTTGCCCTCTGCCTGGAGTGCCATTTCTGTGCTTCTTGGCTTCAAGGCCAAATCCCAGCGTCACTTGCTCTCTGTAGCTTTTCCATATCCTCTGGGCAGGAAGATTCATCAGGACTCCCACGATGCTCTTGTTTGCATCTTTATTTAGGCACATATAGGCAGTATCTGAGTTGGCTGCTCATTGCCCCACCTCTGGCCACTGTGGGGCTCCTCTAGTCTGACTACTGTCTACATCCTTGGTTCTTGGCCCAGCACCTGCTAGTTTGACTAAAGACCCGAAGACCAGTCCAGGAAACTTAGGCCTCTCATCTGTAGACAGTGTGTGTGTGTGTGTGGCGGGGGGCTGTTACATCTCTCAGGGGAATGACATGGCTGGTGGCATTTTTAGGTGTGCCCTGGGGTAGCATGGGAGATGCACTGATGGTGGTACTGGTAGGGGGAGTAGTGGAGGCCTGGAGGGCTTGGTGCTACCAGGGTTTGCAGAAAGACTGTCAGGAAAGAAGACCAGGACCTGGGGCAGGGCATGAGCTTGGGACGATAGGTAAAAAGTGAGCCCAAATTTTGCCATGTCAGTGCAGGAAGGGCTCTGAAGGATCTTGTCTGACTTAGTAAATGGCTCCACTTCGTCTGGTCTTCCTGCAGGAACTGGCACCAATGCCTGCTACATGGAGGAGCTCCGGAATGTGGCAGGAGTAGCTGGGAGCTCAGGCCACATGTGCATCAACATGGAGTGGGGCGCCTTCGGGGATGATGGCTCTCTGGACATGCTCAGCACCTGCTTTGATGCAAGTGTGGACCAGGCATCCATCAACCCGGGCAAACAGAGGTGTGGACTGACTGGACAGAGGTGGCTGGTGGTGACTTCACTAGTGATGGTGGTTGGTGGGGTCTCCTACCCTGTGGGCACACATACTCTCGTGTAGGTTTGAGAAGATGATCAGCGGCATGTACCTGGGAGAGATCGTCCGCCACATCCTCTTGCATTTGACCAGCCTTGGAGTTCTCTTCCGGGGTCAGCAGATCCAGCTCCTTCAGACCAGGGACATTTTCAAGACCAAGTTTCTTTCTGAGATTGAAAGGTGCTAAGACCTGCATTACCTCTTCCCACCTCTCAGAGGGGTCTTTCTGTTCACTTTGGGTGGAATGCTGGTTGGAGGGAGGTCCACCCTGGAGAATAGAGGTCATAAGAGAGGGGGGAGCTAATGCTAGACCCGACCTCTCTGTGCTCTATTCCTTCCTGTCCCCAGTGACAGCCTGGCCCTGAGGCAGGTCCGAGCCATCCTTGAAGATCTGGGGCTGCCCCTGACCTCAGATGATGCCCTGATAGTCCTGGAGGTGTGCCAGGCTGTATCCCAGCGGGCTGCCCAGCTCTGTGGGGCAGGTGTGGCTGCTGTGGTGGAGAAGATCCGTGAGAACAGGGGCCTGGAAGAGCTGACTGTGTCTGTGGGTGTGGATGGGACCCTCTACAAGCTGCACCCCCAGTGAGTCTGGGTGCCAGGCTGGGTGGGGAAGCATGGCCGGATAGGGCCTGGCTGGCCTGAGCTCACCTCAGCCCCTTTCCTCACAGCTTCTCTCGCCTGGTGGCAGCCACTGTACAGGAGCTGGCCCCTCACTGTGTGGTCACCTTCCTGCAGTCGGAGGATGGGTCGGGCAAAGGTGCAGCCCTGGTCACTGCTGTAGCCTGCCGCCTGGCCCGGCTGGCCCGTGTCTGAAGAAGGCTCCAGGAACCTGGACCAGGGCAGGGGCCCCACCTGTCCTCCAGCCAGGCCCAGCCACCCAGGACTCCCAGAACAGCCAGTGTGTGATCCCTCTGTGGCCACTGGCCTCAACCTCCGGCTTCCCTGAGAGAAGCAGCACTCGGGTTAGCAATATATATATATAATTTATTTACATTCACGTCCGCTAAAATCCCTACGTGCCCCGACGGCCGGGCAAGGCTGTGTACATAAGGCCAAGTGTAAGTGCGTGAATGCACTTAAGACAGAGTCAGGGCATGAGCTTCACACGACAGGCCCCGGGAGCGGGCACACCACGGCACGAACACTCGCCATTGTCCAGCCCAGGACTCCCGTTGCATATTCACATGCCCCATCGGGCAGGGCTCCTCTTGGCTGGGGGAGGGGGAGGTTCAGGAGGAGCCGTTGGGTTTCCCTGGGTGGGTGGGAGAAGGGCAGCAGGTGAGAGGCAGATGTGGACTGGTACTGGGTGTGAGAGATGTGAGTGGCCTCCCGGTGTACAGTGAGATGTGTGCACGAGGGTTGGGGGGAAGCCAGTGAGATGACACACGAGACATGCATGGGCACATGCCCATGTGGGGGTCGTGTGCCTGAATCCAGGGGCCGCCCCCGTCCAGCTGTGGCCCTCAGTCCCACAGGCTTGGAGCTGGGCTCCTCAGATGTGCCCCTACCCAGCAGGCACAGAAATGTTTGCATAAGGTCCAGCTTAGGCAGGAGTTCCAGGGCCATGTCCTGAGCCCAGTGTATGCGAGCATGCCGTGTGTGTGCAGCCCCCGGCAGGGGCAGGGGGAGAGGTAGCACCACACACATACACACACACAGTTGGGCTGGGCCTGGTCCGGCAGGACTGTCCCACCTGGGACCTGGGAGCAGGGGGCAGTGCCAGCCTGGCCTGGCAGGCCATGTTGGGGTGGGAGCATGGGCAGGGTCTGAAGGGCCAATGCGAAGGGACAGTTTCCACCATGAGGGGACCTGTCCACACAGCTCCCCTGGGTGTGGGGGAGGGGCCTCGTCCGGCTTCTGCCTGTCCCTGGTGGGTCCCAAAGCTGGTGAGAGTGTAGGTATTGGGGGCCTGGCTGGTCTCAGCATTCAGCTTCCGACACTGTGAAGAGTCCATTGTCTGGCTGGCCCAGTCCAGCCACTGCTGCAGCCAGCTGGCTGAGGTTGCCATTGGGGAAGTGCCTTGCCTCCCACAGGTTGAGGATCATGGCTGTGGGGCTGGGCTTGGAGGCAAAGAAGCTGAGATGACTGTGGAGGGGAGGGAAGGAAGGGAGCCCGTTAGTGGCCTGGTCTCACCCCAGGGCCTCCTGCCCCCTAGCCCACCTAAAGGCAGGGCCTCCCCTCCGTCAAGCACACTGGACGCCCTGGCTGCTGGTGGATGAGGTGCAAAGGGCGTCCTGTCCATCCCACCTATCCTACCCTGCCAGGCTAGATGGCCTTTGCAATCCCTCCCTGCTCATCCCACGCACCTGTCCAGATGAAGCTTCTGAGCCAGAGTCCGCCAGTCGGCACCCCGGCTACAGGGTGGGTCCAGGCTGGTAATGATCTTCTGCCGAATGAGAAAGGGGATCTTGAAGGCACTGGGGCCCACGAGGGCTGGGACCCCTGCTTCACTCTCCAGAGCCAGCAGCTCAGTGAATCTTGTGTCCTGGGGTGCGAAGGGGTGAAGATGGCTGTTAAAACTCTCCCTGGCCCAGGCCCACTGCAACCTCCTGCTGGGGACTGCCCAAACCTCCCCAGAGCATGGTGCCGCATAAGCACTGCTGCTTCCTGGGCACCCCCCCACTAGGGCTTAGAGGTGTAGTGACCTGCCCAACGTGACACAGCTAGTGAGCAGGAGCCACCTGGCCTCATTCCCCTCTTCCTTCCCACCAGCCCTCCCTGTCACTACTGCCTCTGCTCAACACCTGGGACTCTCTGTGTTCCTCTCCTGCCTGTCCTTGAACTCACTGCCCCTGCCAGAACGCTGCCCTTCCCTCGCTACTCCCAGTCTAACTCTTACTGATCCTTCAAGGCCCAGTAGAGACCCTCCTCAGGGAGGCCTGGGGCCCAGGCTGCCCCTGCCCTTCCTGCTGCTCCCACTCCTCTTCAGTCCTTTCCCAAGTCCCACTGCCTGTCGGCACCTGTGCCTCTCCCTGGAGACTCAGAGGAAGAGGCCAAGCGATTTCTTGTCTCTAGGAGAGGTGTCAGAGTGGGCCTGGGGGTGTGGTGCACATTACGGCAGTGCTGATGCCTCCCTGCCCACCTTGGTGATGTTGAAGTTGATGTTGAAGCTCTGCCCATCACCCTCCACCTGCCACACCCACACCTTGCAAGCCAGGTCACTGGTGCTGGGGCTGACACGCTCCAAGGTGAAGGTGCAGTGCAGGTACTGCTGCGTGCCATTCCAGATGTGATAGAAGGGGATCTCCTGGGGTGGGGGAGCAGAGGGGCAGCGTCAGACGTGCCTGGCATCAGGTGTGCCTGGCTCCAGGCACCTTGAGCACCCTCACCTGGTAGCTAACGAGGAGCTTGCTCTTCCACAGGGAGCTGGGCACATCGTGGATAGACAGGCGCAAGTTGTGGTAACTGTCCTTCAAGTGCAGGACACGAGGCTCCTGGATGAGCTGTCCTCCCAGCTGCTTCTCTAGCTGCACCACCTCCTGCAGTGCCCCAGGTGGTCAGCCAAGTTTGGGGCTGGGAGAGCCCCCACACCTCCCCGCGGTCTGGGGGTGCTCAGCCCTCAGTGCCAAGCACATGGCCTCTCTGCGGCAGGGTGAGGTTGGGCAGTACCTTGAGTGCATCTCGGGTGTCCTGTAGACAGTAGACTCGTATGTTGTACTCCAGGGAGGTGCAGGCCACCGGGGCAAACAGAAGCAGCTTGAGGCGCTTGGCAGCGACCACACTGAGGGCCTCTCCCACCAGGGCGAAGCGGCCCAGCTGCTCAGTGAAGATGTAGCAGGTGCCGGCCTCCAGCTGGCAGTAGTAGAGGTGGGAGGGCGCCTCCTCACCCAGGTGCAGCACGTCCTGCAGGTAGGGACCCATGGATCAACTCATGGCCAAGTGCAGCTCTAAGTGTTGGCCAGAGACCAGGGACAGGGGCCTGGCTCAAGGGCCAGGTGGGAAACTGGGCTCCACGTGGAGGCATGTGTTGGCTCCCTTGGGTGGGCAGTGGGGCTTACCTCCCAGCTGCCCTCGCAGGACTGCTTTTTGAGGTGCAGGCTCCAGCTCTCAGGGCTAGGCTCCCCGCAGTGGTCCATGGCAAGGATGACAGGCCGGGTGAGCAGAACTCCGGGGGGACCACAGCTAACGATGGGACTCAGCAGGGTCTGACAGCCGGCTAGGGGCAACCTCAAATGGGGAAATATGGGTGGGGAGGGAAAGGCATCAATGGACTGTCCTGGCATCAGGCAGGACGGGGCAGGGCGGCAGCACCCGGGGTCAGCAGAGCTGGGTTGAGCTTAGGGGTAGCTCTTCTCCAGGCCCCCCTCCCAGGCCAGCCCAGACAAGGTCCAACAGTGGTTGGGCAGGGGGCTTCCTGGTGATTGCAGGCAGGGGGCAGGACCCACCCAGCCTCAGCTGCAGGTCCCAAGCTCACACCTCACATCGTCTGGCTTGTGCAGCGTGAGGTAGATCTCGTAGATCTTTCCACGGGGTATGGCATCTGGGGGGATAAGGAGGCTGATCCCTGTGATAGAGCGGAAGGAGGGCTGGGCTTACCAGGCTGCAAAGACACCAACCATCCCACTCTGCCAGCTGCTACATGGGTCTTCCTCTAAGGACTGATCCATGCTAGCCTGGCCGCAGGACAGAGGTGTCACAGGGACTATCCAACTCCCTGCACAGGCATGCAGCTGAATCACCATGACCTCAAGAGAGGCCAAAGGAACTTGGGTGGAAAAAGCATGCCCAATTAGCCCGGGCACACAAACACTAAAACAAAAGGTGCCAGGTGTGCGGTACCTGCCTCCCCTATTGTCCTGCTTAAAACCTTCCCTTTATTCCGACTGGATAAAGTCTAGCTTCCTGGCCCGGCATTTCAGGCCTTTTACCTCTAGCCCCAGTTGCCTTCCCAGCAGCCTCTCCAGCCTGGCCTGTGCTGCATATTTGCTGTTCTGGAACCACGGCCCTGGCTGGGTACCCTGCCCTCCTGCCCTGCCCAGGCTCCCCCTACCTCCACTGACCCTGGCCACCTCTGGGGTGGCAGCTCTCTGCTCCTGTGCATGACTTTGCTCTTTACTTCGTAGTGGCCCCCCTACAGATGGGGCCGAGGCCTTGAACAACCTTGCCTGCGTGTGCGATAGCCCTCCCTGGTCAGGAGCCATTGCACATGTCCTCTGTCTAGCGGCTCCATCTCTGCCCAGCACCTTGCAGGGGCTGCATGGGGAAGTGCCTGCTAAGGGAGCAGTGGTTCCAAGGCACAGGGGCTAGGAAGTTGCTCTGGGGGTGGCAAGGGGTGGTCGTGCCCCACCTCCCTGCCCCTTTAGGACAGGGAGCCCCTACATTAAGAGAAGGGGAAAATTCTATGACTCTATCCCACCAAATCTGAAAGTGCATGCTTTCCGAGTGGGCGACCAGGTGGGGCAGCTGGACTGTCACTAATTTCCAGGAACTGATGCTTAGGAGAAGAGAGCCAGTGATGGGGTATTCACAGCTACTGCTCCCTTCAACAGCCCATGCTGCCTCCTGGTACCAGCTCCCAGTGCTGGTGACAGTCCCAGAGACCCAGTGAACACACCTGAATTCTCATTCAATGAATGCTCATGCCAAGTGCAGGTACACAGGAAGGTGAGGAAAAACCATGGGCCCTACTCTCAAGAAGCTCCCAGCCCAGTGGGGAGAATAAGTATATGGCAGCAAAAAGTCCTGGGTGCTGGGGGAGACCACCCCACAGTGGTCACTGAACACCCATATGAGCCTGCCCCTTCCTAAGAGCTTGGCATGAACCATCTCACCTCACCCCTGTGGCAGAGACATGAAGCACAGAGAGGGAGAGCTGCCAGGCCAAGACCCAGAGGATGGGGAGAGGGACTCATGTGTGCAGAGGGCCGCACGGTGTGCATGGGTGCTAAGCCCACCGTGGCTGCCATGTGCAGGAGGAGCATGCTCAGGAGGGAAGAGGCCACCACAGTTGGCCAGCTGGGAATGGGCCGTCATGGCCTTGTCATGTGGGCTGTGCAGGGAGCACAGGGGAACCTGGAAAGGGTTCAAGCAGGAGAAGGACACGATGAAGTGTGGCTTCACTGGGTGATGCCAGGAGCTGTGGAACAGGCGACAGGTAGGTGTGGCGGTCAGGGCCAGAAGAGGAAGTGGGGAAGAGAGGCAGGGGATGCAGGAGCATTTGAGGAGGAAGAACAGGGGGATGCATGTGTGACTGAAGCTGGTGTCGAGGAAGGGGGAAGAGTAGGAGGTCAAGGTGACCTCCCCGTTTCTGACTTGAACATGTTGTCCCTGAGGTGGGGAATGCAGGAAGCAGGAGATTCTGGGGGAGGGTGGGAGACGATGCTGTTTTAGGCATAAGGAATCTGAGGTTCTGTGAGACATCCAGATGGAGTTGCCCAGGAGGCAGCTGGGTGTATGATTCTGTCGCCCAGGAGAACGGTGGCTGGGAATTAGGAGTGGGAGTGAACTGCAGACATGGCGATTAAAGCCATGGAGTGGGAGAGGAGGCCAGGAGGGAGCTCTGACGAACACCTGCATTTAGGGGACAGGTACCTGGAAGCTGGAGAGGGGGCAGAAAAGCAGGGCTATGTGGGGTCATCTAAGCCAAGGGAGGAGAGAATTTCAGGGTGGGAGTGGCCAGCCACACCAGAGGCTATGGTGCTTCTTTTAAAGATGACCATGGAAAAGGTCTGCGAAGGGGTTTCTGTGGGGTGGTGGGTGGAGGAGCCCCACCTCGGGGCCCAGGGCCCACCCGGAGCCTGGCACATGCAGGCTGGCCATGTATATGAATGGACAGCAGACCTGTGTCCTAGGCCACAGAAGGGAGACAGCCCTGGCCATGGCCTCAGTGCCAGCCCCACTGCCAGCCACAACAGATCCTCTTCCACACTCCACCTCCGCTCCTTGCTGGCCTGGCTCAGCATCTGGGGTGAGGCTGAGTGGCACAGGAAGAACCTCAGGGACATCCCATCCTCTTCTCTGAGGGACATGGAGGCTAGTATTGCCTCTTAGAGCTACCCGGGGAACTTTGGGGCCCTTCCCACCCGTATGAGGGATCATCAGCCGGCCCCCAAGGAAGTTGAAGGTCCCGTAGGCCATGTTGCTGATGCCACGCGGCAGGGAGCGGAAGTAGTTCTGGGTGGACAGGCGGGAGACGAAGTCCTCGGCCTCGGAGGTGGGCGAGCTGTGGTGCAGCGTGTGGCGGCCGCCACTCAGCGGGCTGAGCAGGTGCCCATTGGTCAGCTGGAACTTGGGGCTGGGCCCATCCTGCCGGGAACACAGGCTGCCCCGGTAGGTGGTGGTGGTGGTGCTGAGGTCTGGCTGGATGGTGAGCAGATGGGGATTGTCTGTAGGGTAAAGACAGACATAGTGGCGTTGGGGGTGTCCCCATCTGGGTGGCCCCTGGCATGGGGGCCAGGGCAGGAGTGCTGGGGGCGGAGACACAACACCTGCTTTGCTGGGCTTGATGCTGACAGGCTGGAAGCCTGAGGTGAGGATGGACGAGTCAGCCACGTCTGAGTCCAACCCCTGCTTCTTGCGGCAATAAATGAGGATGAGGACGAGCAGCAGCAGCAGGAGGCACACTGCCACCGCGATGAGGCCCACGTAGAGGGCCACGTCCTCGGGGCCTGAAGCAGCTGCAGGAGAGAGAATGGCCTTGGAGGGGCAGGTGCAGGAGGTGGGGAAGGAATCAGCGGTTCCCACTCCTTGGGCACCAGCACTACTGGGGCAGTGGATGCTGGCACGGAGAGTATGGTGTCAGCACGGATGTACCCCAGCCCTGCATCTGCCACCACCTCTCTCTGTCACTCGGGGCAAATTACATCTCTCACAGGCTTGATTCAGGCTGAGGTTGCTGCTCCCAGAGAAGGGCAGGAAAGACACACTCCCCCAGGTGGCCTTGGATAGGGCTGCTAGACTGAATCCACTCTTCTGGGGCCCTTGGCAGTGGGAGCTGTGAGGAGCTCCCAGGATCCCCAAGGCAGGGGATCGTGCTTCCTGGGGCATTTGCCAATCTGGTTCCTGGCAGGTCCCTGCCAGGCTCTTCTCCTTGTCTGCATCTCCAGGCCTGGGGCAGGGCTGGGGAGGGGTGATTGACTGCTTAGAGGAAGCTGTATTGATTTTAGAAGGGCTTTGCATGATGGAAGAAATGTCCATCAGAAAGGAATTGACACAGATAATTAGGTTTTTAATTGAAAGAATATGGGAGGGTGTGTTCTAGAGAAAAAAATCCAACAGAGATCTTCAATTGTTAGTTATAGCCTTGTAATTAACAGGCCTCACAAGCCTGGGGTCTCCACAGGATGTGCATGTGCACTGGGGGACAGGGAGGAGGTGAAGAGGTGGGGGAGGGGCAGCAGATGCCCAGTAAAAAAACCTCAAATGTATGCATGTTTTGGGAAGGCGAGGGATGTATTGGGGTGTGCAAGGGCACATGTGTGGGAGTTTATGGATGGGGGACCCCAAGGTCCTGAGCTTTGAAAAGGGTGTGCAGCCCGTATGGCAGGGGACTAACTTTCTTAGCCACCACCTCCCTGGAGCTGGGCAGGGCTCAAGAGGACTCCCAGGGCAGAGAGGACTCACTGTGCACACAGAGGTCGCTGGTGCAGTTTCGGGTGTCCAGGTCAGCACCCCGGCACTCCTCGCCTCCGTTGCGGGGTGCCGGGTCAGAGCACTCACGGCTCCGCCAGTGGGTGCAGTCAAGCCCACAGGCTGACCACTTGCTCCACGGGCTCCAGCTGCCGTCCACTACATGAGAGATAGACACGGAGAGAGAAGAATGGCACTGTCAGCCCGGGGAGCCAGCTCAGGCTCTGAATGCAAGGCCAGGGCCAGCGCCAGGCCTACCGTCTGTATGCCCTCTGGTGTCCAGCTGGCCTGGATGACACATGCTAATGATGGGAGGCACAATGATACCTGCCTGTTTGGCTCTACACACACCAGGGGGCTGTCCTGGCCCTGGGACCATGTGGGCCCCCAGGCTAAACCCTGCCCTTGCCCCACACTGACTGTACCTGTCCTAACTGTACCACAGACCCTGGGACTCAGACCCTCTGCCGAGACTGAGCTGGGCATGGACCGAGCCCTGCCTCCATCACACTGAACCCCATCCCGGCCTTGGACTGAGCCTGGCCCTGCGTGTGGGCGGGTGGGATGGAGCCATGGGGGGCAGGCTAGTGGGT